TTGGATACTCACTAAGGTTGGAAACTGAAAAGTTCAGGGTTCTGGTGCTTACTTTCTCCTTCATGGCAAGGAAGAAAAAGGAATAAGGTCAGGAAAGAAACTAGAGGATTTGCGACAACTGGTTTGATGGGGCTGTGGACCGGAGTAGTTAACCAGCAGTAGGACCAGGCCCAGGTGACAGCAGGCTGAGTGGGGCGGGTGCATAGGAACGGTGGGTGTCAGTGATGAGGCCCAGAGAGGTGGGAAGAGCTCGTGTTGGGCACTCTTGGCGGGGGTCGCAGCGGGAGCAGAGCCCTCTGATACTCTGTCAGTCCCCTGCCAGGTGGCGGACAGCGAAGTGAAGGCGGGGACCTTGCAGCTGACAGTAGAGCGGCTGAATGGGGCCTTGGCTAAGGTGGAGGAGAGCGAAGGGGTCCTGCGGGACAAAGTACAGAGCCTGACACAGGCCCTGGCCCAGAGCAACAGCAGCCTCACCAGCAGCCAGGACAAGAACCTGCAGCTGCAGAAGGCACTGACCGCCTGTGAACATGACCGCCAGGTGCTCCAGGTACAGGGCCGCCGGGTGTGGCTGGGGGAGGACCCAGTATGAGAGTCAGCCAATAAGAGTAGACCTGCAGGAGGGGAGGGCTGGCCCAATGGAGCATCAGCCAATCAGAGGAGGCAGCTGTAGGGGTGGGGGCGTGCACCCAATGAGGAAGCCACCTACCAGTGGCTGGAGGGCCCAGGCTCAGAGTTAGGGAGTTGGGATGTCTCCCAGTGTGTGCAGTGAGCATGCAGGCCGTGGGCCAGGTGCAGTGACTGTCTGTTTTATGGGCCGTGAACCTGTCCAAAGGTACAGAGTAAAGAGAAACCTTAGGCCTTGGGCTCGCAGGCTGGCCTGCACCATCAGCTCCTGTCCCCCAGGAACGGCTGGACGCTGCCCGGCAGGCGCTCTCCGAAGCTCGGAAGCAGAGCAGCTCCTTAAGCGAGCAGGTGCAGACAGTGCGGGGTGAACTGGCCGACCTGGAGCTGCAGCGCGCGGAGGCGGAGGGCCAGCTTCAGCAGCTGCAGGAGGTGAGGGCTGGCCTCGACCCCTGGGTCCCAGGACCATGAGGCCCCACTTTCCGCCCTACTCAGTCTGATCCCCAGCTGCTGTGAGGAAGCAAGGTTCATTCAGCCACACCCCTGTATACAGATGGAGCAGCTGAGGCTCCCGGAGAACTGCCCAGGCTCAGGTGACAGTTCTTGCACAGGGCCTCCCAGAGACGTGTGAGTGGGCACCAGGGGCGCCGGTCACACTGAGGCCCGGAGGGATGCAGGGCCTGCCTGGCCTTTGCTGCAGGTGCTACGGCAGCGGCAAGAGGGTGAGGCGGAGGCGCTGAACGCGGTGCGGAAGCTGCAGGACGAGCGGCGGCTGCTGCAGGAGCACCTGGGCAGCCTGCAGAGGGCCCTGGCCCAGCTGGAAGCCGAGAAGCGGGAGGTGGAGCGCTCCGCCTTGCGGCTGGAGAAGGACCGCGTGGCCCTCAGGAGGATGCTGGACAAGGTGGGTTGTACCACCCTGGCCTCCCCTCGCCCTCTCTGGGGCCTGGCTTGATGGGCCACACCTGTCTGTCCCCATGGGCTGGGTTCCAGACTCTCAGCCGCCCCTTGAGCGCCTTCCTCCCGTGCTCCCACCCAGGTGGAGCGGGAGAAGCTGCGCAGCCATGAGGACACAGTGCGGCTGAGCGCGGAGAAGGGCCGCCTGGACCGCACGCTCACCGGGGCTGAGCAGGAGCTGGCCAAGGCCCAGAGGCAGATCCAGCAGCTGGAGGTCTGGCCCGGCCCGGCCCGGCCCGGCCCACCCCGCCCCACCCCCACACGCCTGGTGCCCAGCTGGGTAGCCGGCCTGAGTGTGAGCTGGCCCAGGGGAGCAGGCGGCTCAGGCAGGCCCCATAGGGCGAGGCTCTCCCCTCGGTAGATAGCAGTGACGCTGAGGGTCTGTGAGCCCGTGTGTTTATGTATGTTGTAGACATGTCCAGGTGTGAATGCCGTGAATCTGATGTATGCATGTGTGCAGTTGTTTTCACATATGCACATGTGTGTGTCTTAAGCCTTTGCACATATGGATGCATCTTTGTGAGTGAGGGTGTTGACACACTTGCTTTTGTTTCTGCGTGTGTGGCCAGTCTGCATTTGAGCATGTCTCGTGTGCCTGAGTGGGGGTCACTGGGGACCCTGAGCCAGAATCTGCAGGCTCGTGGGCAGGGCGTCCCTGACCCCTGCGTCCCCTACACCTGCACTGGCCGAGCCTCAGACAGGTGCTTGACATGTGACACCTCATCACAGTGCAGTGCGCACCCTGGGCCAGAACCCTGAACAGTGCCCCCTCCCTGCAGGCCCAGGTGGTGGCCCTGGAGCAGAACCACAGTCCCGCCGAGCTGGAGGCGGATGAGCAGCAGCAGGAGGTGGGGCACCTGCGCAGGACCCAGGTACAGACCAAGCATGCCCACCATCAGTACTAGGGGTGTGAGGGCTGCAGGGGCAGGTAGGCGGGCTCCTACAAAGGAGACAGGGACAGGCTGGGAGTATAGGCTGCAGGACAGGGCTGGCCATAACCTAAGGAGTGTAAGCAGTTGATGACAACTTCTTAGACTTGAAAAAGGACCTGGTAGATCACTGTTCATAGCTGTCGTGGCTGGACCAGCGGTCCAAGAGATGCTTCTGGGCCTCCGTCCCTCCCTGCCAGGGTGTTGCTCTCTAACTCCAGGCCCAGGCAGGCCCATTTCCTGGGGTGACACAAATACCATCACCAGCTCCAGCTGCCCATTCTCCCAAAAACTGGGGTTCCAGAGGGGAGAGAGGGTGCGTCCTCCGGGGAGCACCAGCAAAAGCCCCAAGGCTGGTCCTCCTGACCAGCTTGTCACCGGCCCCTTTCCTGAGCAGGCCACACTTGCTGATTGGCCCAGCCTGGTCTAGGCAGAGCCAGGCTCACTCAAATGATGAGGGTGTAGAGGTTGAGGAAGTCCCTGGGAACCCTGACAGAAGTCAGAGTCGAAAGATGCCCGACTCTACGGGGAGAAGGACATCATGGCTGTGATGACTCCAGATGTCCCCTGCAGTGGGCAACACTGGGTCCCCTCAGGTCCCCAGCCATGCCTCAGGGTCGCTCCTTTCTCTGAAATCATGCTGGGGGCCTGAGTTACCTTTGCCTTCTCTTCTTCCTCAGGGGTCCACACTGAAGGGGCAGCTGCAGCTTTGAAGGAGCTCAGCGTCCTCCTCACTGAGAAGTGAGCCTCGGCCCGGCTGGCATCCTCAGAGCAGCCGTGGTGGGAGGGAGAGGGGTCTCCTCTGCAGTACAGGCCACCCAGGGCCTGGCCTGTTGCTGCATGGTGGTGCTGACCACTGGACACCAGGTCCAGGCCACACCCAGCAGTAGCTTCCTGGTGTCCCCGTGACCCACCTCACTCCAGCCCTTCTCCTGGGATGAGCCACTCTAATTGGTGCAAGGGCCTCTGAAGCCAGGCATCAGACACAGCTCTAGCTCTGGCCAGCCCAGAGCAGGGGCTCATGGGAAGAAGAGGGGAGCCTGGGCCTGACTGGCTCCCAGCGATCTCTCTGCCTCAGTTCAGAGCATTTGTCAGGAAATTCCTCAGAGAGCTCAGAGTCCTTGTATTTTTGTACCTTTTTATACTGTTAACTGTTAAGAACTTGTGTTTTTTGTAATAAGACCATTTTCTAAAATCGGCTTGTACAGATGGTGCCCCTCTCCACACTGCTGGGTGCTGCCTCCACCCAGGAGATGGGAGGGATTCAGGTGGGGCTTGGGGGCCTCTGGGAAGGACAGCTGGGGACAGCAGGAGGCAGAGGCCTGTGCTGGTAAGGGAGTTAGCAACCTCACAGGATGGCAAGGCGCCTGGGCTCTCTACCCCATTTTACAGATGGGGCTGTTGAGGCTTGGGGTGGGCTTAATGTGGCTGCACAAGTCAGCTCTTGCCAGCCATATCCTTCTTGCCCCTTCTCCTTAGGCATCCTGGGAACAGGGCCCACGCTCTGGATGGTGTCGGCCTCCTAGGCAGCATGACCGCAGGGTTCGGGGGAATGCGGGGGCTTCCCTGGCTCCGCCCAGCCAGGCTGGATGAAGCTCCTTAACCTCCCAGAGCCTTGGTGTGCTCATCTGCAAAATGGGAACCTGACCCCTGGGGTGGTGAGCAGGAGGCACTGCTCAGAGAGTGTCTCCGGGAGACACTGTGGTCCTTGTCCTCCCTCGGAGTCCCACACCAGTCCTGCATGGGCACTGTCACTCACAGTGGGGGGCCTTGGGCGAGTCCCTGAATGCTTCTAGACAGTTTCCTACCTGTAATTTGGGGATGGAAATTGCACCCACCCGAGGGAAGGGCTGAGCGTCACGCAGCGGGGTCGGGTGCTGGTTGGGGGAGGGGTGCGGTGGCCTAGCCTGCTTCTGCCCTTTCAATGACAGCCCTTGTTCTCACGTCCACTGACCTTGACCTCCTGCCTTATACCTTCTGCCGTGACACGTTCCCACCCTGTGGCCTCAAATCTTGGCAGTATCCGTCGGGTGGCAGGGACTCGGGCTCTCACCAGGTAGCCCCAACCGTGAGGACGCAGTGTCCTGGCGCTTCCTATTTCCCCTGCACACGGGTGTACGTGCGTCGTGGGGCAGGTGTCGCAGCCCCTCCTGGACAGGTTGAAGCCGAGGTGACCACACAAGGAGCAGGGCTGGGACTACAGAAGGCAGGCTGCTGCTCACATGAACAGCGAGCGCCCTTCTTGTCTTTTTGTTTTGTTTCACTTTTGAGAGAGTCTCCCTGTGCATTTCAGGTTGGCCTCAAACTCACTACGTAGTCGAGGCTGGCCTTGAGCTCCCAGCAATCCTCCTGCCTCAGCCTCTTGAGTGCTGGGATTATGGGTGTGCTCGCTACCACACCCAGTTTCGGACAGCCTCATTCTGTCTTGGTGGCACAAGAGGTGTTGAAGGCACCAGGTTGGCCCCTCTGTCTCTGGACCAAAAAAGTGACTCTGGATCTTTTGTAAAAACTTATTTTTAATTTTGTATAAAACAAAGGTGATCCATGCCCAGGGAGCTATAGGAAATCCAGGCAGACCAGCTGGGTGAGGGGCATAGCCTGCCTCGGGGACTGTCCTAGGGGGATGAGAAGGCACGTCAGAGACCTGTGTCCCATGGAGAGGCCTTGGGTGCCCCCTGCTCACGGGGCAGAGCCTGGGCAGTAGGAGCCTCTGTTGCACCCCAGGGGTGGCCACAGGCTGGGGGAGGTGCTTGGGGCGCCAGAGCCTGCACCCCCCAGGCCTGCAGTCTGCCAGCTTTACAGAATAGGGAGATGGGATGGGGAGAAAGCACCAGTCAGGCAGGGCCTGAAGCAGGGTCTGTGCAGGGCCCAGGGCTCAGGACGCCAGCTCCACCCTAGCAGCCTCCGCAGCTCCTGGCACAGGAGGCCGCTATAGATTGGCACAGGCCACTGCTGGCCATCACACCACATCTGGAGAACTTGTCCCGACACAGGTCAGCTGTTGGGGGGCAGGAGGGAGGCAGGGTCAGGGTGTGTATGTGTGTTCTGAGGACCAGACGTGCTGGGGGGACCCCGGATGCCCTGCCTGTGGGCCCAGGCGTGTAATCCATGTTGAGTGAAGACAGAAGGGGATCTGGCAGGATGACGAAGTGGACATAGGCAGAGGGGCAGGGGACGCCTTCCTACCTCGGAGGAGCTCCTCATGGGCACAGACCGTGCGGACACAGATCTCCTTGTTCACAACGTACATGCGGCGGAGGCTAAGGAAGAGACGGCCAGGGGAGGTGTGAGGACCTGGCCCCTAGGAGAGCCTGGACCCAGCCCGGCACTGCAGTCTCATCCTCAGAGCAGAGCTGTGCTTTAGGATTCACTGTCCCCAAACTCCCACCCTTCTGGCTTGCCACCCCCCAGCTCACCTGTAAAAGCAGACCTCATTGAGACACTGTTTGCAAGGCTTGTGGATGGAGTAGAGGCGGGTACATGGGTACTGCTCCTCTCGGCAGTCTGGGGGGCAGGAGGGTGGGATGGAGGGTTCAGAGCCACAGAGGCTGCCTCCGAGTTCACCCACTTGAGACGGACATGCAGGGTAAGGTACCCTGCACCCTCCATCCAGCCCAGCTCCCCACCCGTGCCAGGCAGGGCTAGACCTTCTGCCCCACCCCCAGCTCTGTACCACATGCAGACACCAGCCCACACCACGCTAAGAAGCATACATTTCAATACATGTAAGTTCACACACAAATTCACACCCTGCATGGCCACTGATGCCCACGATTCACCAGCAGATACACACGTGCCCGTGTGAGCCTACACTAACACACTCCTAGGAGGGTGAGCTCAGAGTCTTCTAACAGTCTTCGCAGGCACCGCTCAGCCAGCCTGGGCTTCCCTGGCCCTTCCTCACCCGGCCATGGGCATCACCCAGTCCTCTGCCCCTGCCTAGGAGTGACCAGCCTAGCCTCTCACCAGGTGGGCAGGGTGGGATGTTCAAGAGCTGCCAGTTGAAGGTAAGGGCACAGCCACCTGTTCCCCCTGCCCCCAAATTCCCACACGATCTAACCTAGCACCCCTGCCCTGATCCGCCCTCCCACGCCAGCGGGCAGGAAGCTCTTACCAAGAGGCCCAGGCTCAGTTGGCTCCGTCTCTGTGTTTCCTGGCTCTGGAGCAGAGAGAGAGAGGCAGGCAGGAATTGCTGGGAGGGGTCTTCTCACCCCTCACCCCTGGTACAGACCCCCTATTCTCAGGGATGACCGGAAGCAGGGACAAGGGAAGCAGGGCTTGGGGCCTACCTGGGGTGGGGGCTGGGATGATTTCCTGCTGAACCTGCTGCTGGGACTGGAACTGCTCCTCCGGGGACCGAGAGCTCACCTCTGCAGCAGGGAAAGTAAGGGTGTCCAGTTCCTCCTTTCCTCCCGGGTCCCCATGGGCTCCCCCACCCCGGCTGTGCCTCCTTTTCTGCCCGCAGCCCCTTACCTTGGTAATCATAGTAGTCTTGGGTGTCTGAAAAGGAAAGTGGAAGTGGTGTGGGTCAGGCCACCCCTATCCTGGAATGCCCATCATCCTAGCCCACCCAGCCCCTGGCTCAGAGCCAGGCCTTGACAGGGCAGGATGGCAGGGTGTGGGGACAGCTGTGGCGGGTACAGCCCTTACCTATCTGATCGCTGTAGTGGGTGTACTGGACGTGGTCTGGGTACGGGGGCAGTGAATCCAAGTCATATTGGCCCTGAGCCAGCAGGCCTGCTGGGGAGAGGCAGAGCATGTGGGAGCCTGATGGGAGGACAAGGGCCCTACAGTGCTTCTGGGGAGAGGAGGTGGAGGTCACAGGCAGTCTGTAAAAACATGGGCTCCTATAACCAGACTCTTAGACTCAACAGGATCTGAAGGCCAATATGTGTCCTGATCCTGGGTCCCTCCCTGACCTTACCCACCACTCTCCCATTGCTGGCCTCTTAGCAGTCCACATGCTCCTGCCTGCCCCAGGGCCCTTGCACATGAATCTCCCTGGCCTTCTAAATTTCACCTGAAATTTCAACTCTGCCAAGAAGCTGCCCTGGGCCATCCACCTGCTTGTTTATTTCCATCTCAGGACTCAATACCATCTGAATTTATGACATCTACTTGCTTAATATTTGCCTCTTTCCCCCAACTTGGCAACATGATGAGGGCAGGGATTCATATCTGCCTACTTCATCACTATATCTCCAGGGCCCTGAAATAGGAAATTGACATGTATCGAATGAATGAATGAATGAATGAATGCATGCATGAATGAATATATACTAGGTCTGAGGGCTTTGTGATCCCCATGGATGACTGTTTTACCAGTAAGGATCCCCTTAAGGTCATACATAGAGTGGTGGTGCACGCCTATAATCCCAGCACTCTGAGAGGCTGAGGCTGGAGGATGGCAAGTTTAGCCCAGCCTGGACAATTCAACTTAGCCAGATCTTGTCTCAAAATTAAAAAAAAAAGGGCTGGTCTTGTAGCTCAGTGCAAAGGCCCTAGGTTCAATGCCTAGTCATAGGGAGAAACAAATTATATTGGTAGATAGGACCCCATGTGGGTCTAGAACCCAAGCCTCTGGACTCCCCGCTGCAGTGGGCCCTATATCTGCCCACCGGGTCCTGGAGGGGCAGTAAGAGGATAAGCATGGATTCCTGGTGCCTGGCATGTGCCCACCCTCCACAGCCCTGCTGTCTGCTGTTGCGGAAGGCTTGGGGAAGGGCCCAGGGGAGGCCCCCAGACCCTGGAGGGGCCAGCCCGGTCTGTGGTCCAGGGAGACAGGAGGGCCTGGGAGCTACGGGTGGAGTTCTGCCCACGTGGCATGACCAAAGCTCACTGTGGCCCCTCCACAAACCCCACTCCCGCCCCACATGAAGGGCATCACCTCCCACCGCACTTACCAGGCAGGAACAGCAGGAAGAGGTAGGCAGCTCTCATGGCCACAGAGTGAGGAGGCAGGGGTGGATCAGAGGACAGCTGGAGGCAGAGGAGCGGGAGGGCTGTGTCCTGGGCCACCACCCCAGGACTGCAGAGCCCACCTCTGTCGCCTAATTCAGCCAGGCATCTGGAGGACTGGGGATTGGGGTGCCACTTTGGCTACTTCAGGGGGACATCCGTTGCCCCTGCTTGGGTGTTCAGGACAGGGGTGGTCTTGGCAAATGAACAGTCCCACCTTGCCTGCGCAGAAGGGGACATCTCTAATGCCCTCTTGGCCCCAGCTGTGACTGTTCTCAGCCGCGCTCTCCAGCGCCTGACACACGACTGGAATCCTTGACCCTAGGCGCATCCTCGGGACACCGGCTCCGCTCACCCACATCACAGCCTACACCCGGGGCGCCTGCCAGGCCCGCCACCTGTTCCCAATTAGCCCCTGGGCCCTGAGCATGTTGCTCAGCAGGAAACCACATGCACACGGGCCTGAGGGGCCCCCAGAGCAGCCAAGGCCGGGCAGGGCTCCCAGCCCCGAGAAGACGCCTCGCCTGCCAGGCTCCAGGCCTCCCAAGACCTGGCTGTCCTCATCCCAGACTCACGAGACTGAGTCCGTTTGTCGGCAGTGGCAGGAAGGGCGTGGGGAAGGGCCAGGGAGGCTGGGCACCCCCGGGGCGAAGATGTCACCCAGCCCAGGCGTGCTGCACACCCTGACAAGCTGTGGCAAGGGTTCTGTAACTGTTGGGGCGAGGGCACTGTTCTTTGGCTTCACCAGGTTCCTGGAGTTCGAGAGCTCCTGGTCGAGTCCAGCCACTCAGCTTGGCTACACCGTGGCCTTGGCGGAGACTCCAGGCCCCCACATCTAGGCCCAGCCCAGTGGAGGGTGACCTGGAGGCTGTTGGCCTACAGTGGGGACCGCTGTGAGGTCAGAATCCATGGACTCATCTCCCCAGGGGGCCTCCTCCCTGCCCAGCATGGGAGGTTCCAGACAGCTAACTGAACACCCCAAATGGGCTGAATGCCTCCCTTGGCAATCCAGGAAGAGGGCAGAGAAAAGGGCAAAACAGGGCATCTATCCCCAGTATCTCCCAACTCCAAGACTTCTCTGACCCCTGCCCGTCCCAGGACTCTAACACCTCCCTGAGGGAGGCGGCGTGGGGCCAGAGGCCAGGGACACCAGGCTCACCAGACTCCTGTGTCCCCATTCTGAGACTCCCTGGCCTCTTCAAGGTAGGGGACCACCATCCCCCAAGCAGCTGGTGGCAACCAGGCAGCTGCAGCAGTCAAAGGTCCCTGAGCTGGGGTAGGAGGAGGTCTCAGGAGGCTGGGGGTGACTCTCAGACCCCTGCCTGGGGTCTTCCTGCCCCAGGCGCAGGATGATTGGACAAGGGACTCACAGGGTAGGGTGATGAAGCGGAGGGTAAGGGACCCCTCCCCAGTGACATCTCCAAGCTCTTCTAGACTCTGGAGTCGGGAGACACCAGAGGAGGCCAAGACCTGCCCAGGAGGCCACCCCACCCCCACTGTGGCCCCTTCCACGACCTGCCTCCCCCACACTCCGCTCTCCTCTGTGTCCTAAGGGCCGAGGGGCCCCCACGCGGCCTCAGGCAGAAGGGGCTCTGCCGCTCCAGAGGCCGGAACGGGATCCCTGCAGGGAACCAGATGTGCAGTCCGCGCACAGCTGGGAGCAATCAGCCGCGGGACTCGCTCGGAGTCGGAGGCGGCGCGCGCTGGCTCGGTCTCTGGTCTCTCTTTGTCTCTGCGTCTCTGTCTCCGCCACTCCACGGAGCCCCCCCTCCCCGCCCCGCATTCCAGCTTCCTCGGAGAACAAAAGCCGCCCGCCCGTCCGCCCGGTCCCCGACACCCGCAACCCCGGCTCCCCAGAACTCGGGTTCCCCGCATTTCTCAACTCGTGTCTTCCCCAAAGCTACCCCAAACTTTCCAGACACCCCGCTCAGCATCGGCTCAGAGGCCCCGGGCTCCGGGTCCCCGCCAGCCAGCGCAGGACTGGGGCCCGTGGGCGTCCCCAGCGCGAGACCCCGCTGCCCGCTGCGCCTACCTGCCCCGTCCAGCGCCGCGCTGCGCCCCGAGTGCAC